TCTCCAGAGGTAGATCCTCCTCATCAGCCAAGTACACTTGTTCCCATTGATATGCCTGAATTTCTTAACATTGATCCTCCTGTTGTTAATGATCTTGATGTTCCTATTGCTAAGAGAAAGGGTGTTAGGTCTTCTACTACTAATCATCCTATCTCTCACTTTGTGTCCTATGATCATATTTCACCTTCATACCATACATTCATTTCCTCTATTGATAATGTCTCTGTTCCTAAGAATGTGGCAGAAGCTTTATCCAAACCTGAATGGACAGATGCAATGAAGGAAGAAATTAATGCCTTACACAAAAATGGTACCTGAGAGTTAGTGGATCTTCCTGAAGGGAATGAACCAGTGGGTTGCAAGTGGGTATTCACAGTAAAACATAGAGTTGATGGTTCAGTAGAAAGATACAAAGCTAGATTGGTGGCCTAAGGGTTTACACAAGTGTATGGAGTAGACTATGCAGAGACCTTTGCTCCAATAGCCAAGATGAATTCAATCAAAATCCTCCTCTCACTGGCAGCTAACCTTGATTGGGAACTTCATCAGTTGGATATCAAGAATGCATTCTTGAATGGTGACCTAGAGGAAGAGGTTTACATGACTCAACCTCCAGGTTTCTGTGCCAAAGGTAGTAAGCAGAAGGTGTGCAAGTTCAAAAAAAAAAATCTTTATATGGGTTGAAGCAATCACCTCAGGCCTGGTTTAGTAGGTTTCATTTAGCAGTGCACAAATGGGATTCAAACAATGCCAATCAGATCATACTTTATTTGTGAAAAAAGGTGAAGGAAAAATTGCAGCTTTAATTGTCTATGTTGATGACATAGTAATCATAAGAGACTGGAAGACTGAAATACAGAAGCTGAAGAAATTCCTAGCCACTCAATTTGAGGTGAAAGATCTAGGCCCCTTACGTTATTTTCTTGGAATTGAAGTTGCCCACTCAAAAAGGGGCATCTTTATTTCCCAAAAAAAATATGTACTAGATCTATTAGAGGATACAGGCAAGTTGGGTGTGAAACCAATTGATTCACCCATTGAACCCAACCATCAGCTAGGAGACAGTCAGGGGGAGTGTTTGAAAGATGTAAAGAAGTTCYAGAGACTTGTAGGGAGACTCTTATATTTGTCTATGACCAGACTTGATATTGCCTATACAGTGGGTGTTCTTAGTCAGTTCATGCATAATCCTAAGACAACTCACTTTGAAACTACAGAAAGAATCCTTTGATACCTCAAAAAGTTCCCAAGAGCTGTTTTGCTTTTCCAGAAACATGGGCATTTGAAAGTGGAGGTGTATACAGATGCTGATTGGGCAGGGGCAATCGATTACAAAAAATCTACCAGTGGGTATTGTACTTTTGTGGGAGGAAACCTAGTCACCYGGAGAAGTAAGAAGCAAAGTGTGGTGGCTAGATCTAGTGCTGAGGCAGAATACAAAGCCATGTCTCATGGAGTTGCTGAAATGATGTGGATAAAAAATTTGTTAGGAGAGTTGGGTTTTGCAATTAACAAACCTATGTCACTCTACTGTGACAACAAGGCTGCTATCAACATTACTGCTAACCTAGTCCTCCATGATAGAACAAAGCATATTGAAGTGGACAAGCATTTTATTAGAGAAAAACTTGTGAGCGGAGAAGTGTGCACTCCTTATGTTAGTTCAGAGGAACAACTTGCAGACATCTTCACCAAGGGCCTTCAGCACGTGCGGCATAATAATTTGTGTGACAAGTTGGGCATGATTGACATCCATGTCCCAACTTGAGGGGGAGTGTTGGAAATGTTAACTTTATTTATTATGTTTGTATTCTGCTGAGTTAGGGTCCGTTTGGACAAACTAAAGCAGTTTTTTCTTTTGTTTTTTATGTTGTAACTTAAGTAGGGGCATAAGGGTCCTTTCCCTTCTAATTATGGTCACCCTATATACATTAATATAAGTTGGCGCCGCCAGCACTGTAGCGGCACTATAGCGGACTCTAAATCTCTCTCTTCTCTTCTCTTCTCTCTTCTCTTCTCTCCTCTCTTCTCTCTTCTCTCCTCTCTTCTCTTCTCCTACCTCTCTTCTCCTCTGTTCGGCTATTAATAGGTTCCAAATTTCTTCTCCTTGCTCCCTACCTACAATCCAATTCCTCATTTTTTTATGAGCAAAGAGATAAGATTCATTAATAGAGAATTAATGCAATTACAAGCTTCCCATGGAGAGGCACGAGCTACGTCCTCTCCTAATAGCAAGAAGAAAGACAAAAGAAAACAGAAAACAGGAAACTGATTCAATCTACAATTGAGCCCAATATAAGCTTTCCCTATTTACCCCTTGCTTTGCAAGGCCATCAGCCATAGAGTTAGCAAATCTCCCCACCCATTGTATTCTCACTGTGAAAGTCCTTGTCAGGCAGTTGAATTTTTTAATTTCATTCTTAAAACACCACACTATAGAGTTCGGGTTTTGTAGCTACCCCACTACCACCTTGGAGTCCCCTTCTATTATCAGATGTTCCACACCTATTTGTACAGCTAGCTGTACTCCTTGGATAGCAGCTGCAAGTTCCACCCTAATGGAGTTTCCAGCTCCTATGGGCCCCGAGTAGATAAGAACCACATTCCCAACCTCATTCCTCAGTACCCTCCCATCCCTGACGGACCTAGATTACCAAGACTACTTCCACCAAAGTTCAGCTTCAAAAAGTTCTCAAGAGGAGGTTCCCAAGTCAAACTCACTTAAACAATTCCCGATTTGAACCTCTGCCATCTCCAACCTCCCCCACTACCTCCTTCCCTCTCCCCTCTTGATAGGTCTCAAGCAATGGTTGTAGATTTGTAGGTCAAGTAAATCTATCACAAGCACATAGAGATCGTTAGCAACCTTAAATAAATGCAGACATGGAGACGAAGACCCAAATGGGTCAGAGGAGCCAACAAGACTTTCTAGGTTGGTAACCAAGTTCAGGGTCTTAATCCCAATCATACAGGTCTGAAAAAAGGGACTCTGTCAGGAAGGACTTCTACCCTCTTGACCTTGGGAGTCTTTCAGATCCCTTATTGGTTTATCTCCAAATTGCCTCAGAGGAGAGTTTCGTTCCACATTCCATACACCCTTTCCTTGTTGGAGATATGGTAGCAACTCATCACCATTAAGATCGGTGTCTTGCTCTTTGTTTGTGGCACTTATTGGTGTATCTCCAAATTGCTTCAGAGGAGAGTTTCGTTCCACATTCCATACACCCTTTCCTTATTGGAGATATGGTAGCAACTCATCACCATTGATATCGGTGTCTTGTTTTGTCTGTAACACTTACTTTTCCCAATTCCCAGATTGACCGTTGCAGTGGCCATCATCGTAGGATTCTTGGACCTTTGGCCATCCGCTCCATCATCTTCTTGTTCTAGAAAAAGTTGCTCTGTGGTGAAACTAGCATGCTCTTTGCCTCTTGCATATCCACTTTCTTTCTCAAGTCCACACTTGCAATACTCGAGTCTTCTGATGAGATCGAATCATCATCATCCTCAAATTTTGACCAGTCATTCTTTTAATCTGGTTGTTGAATGTCATCCACCATCTTCTTGCAATGTTCAGGGGAGCCAACCTCCAAAGCCTTGCTAGGCATCCACTGCAGGCTACAACTAGCATTCTTATGCCCTACACTTACATTCATCTTGTTTGGTCAACAAAGACAACAATGGACCATCATTGCCCCAATCAAGCCAGGCACATGACCAATTAATATCTCATGTCCCTTACTAGATTGAACTGAACTCCATCCGGCCCACTACTTATATTTGTGGGCTTTGAACTATTATGCCTAGTTCTATTGATCAAAAAATTACGCCTAGTTGACTTATACTCCACCAATCCCACATAATTACTTAAATTTCCATGCAATAGGACCTAGTTCAATGCTTCTGCTTAGTTTGAATCAATAGTCCAGTTTGACCCAAATCTCTCCCTACGACCCTTTAGCTTCCCATTTGAAATTTGAAACCTGAAATCCTTGCACGTGTCAATGGCCATTAATAACAATGGTCAACACTCGATCATATGACCCACTACCCATCTTCTCATTTCTTTTCCCATGCCAAATAACTCTTCATCCTTCTACTTTACTTTCTCTCATTACTCAAACTTGTTTAGCCATTTTCATGTAACTTCCCATTTTCTTACCAACAAGACATTGATTGCCAAGTAAGTTGTCCATCTCTATCCCTTCATCTTCCTCCTACAAGCTTCCTTCCACATTGAAGCTTCAATGGAGGTTGTGAACCAGGCAAAGTAAGACATTCCATTTATTTCCACTTTTCTAGGAAATAGGAATATGTTCAGGCTTAACTACACTGCAAAGTGAAGATCATAATCAAAGAACCCGTCTAAATGTGTGTACTATAGATAGATGTTAGGGAGCTAAACAACTCTTTCGTCCTTTACTTCCATGGAGGCCTCATTATTTTGGCAGGAAATTGTTTACCCAGATAAATGCATTTACCTTGGGAACTGGTGAAATGTTACACATCCCCGAGTAAATGCATTTTAGCCCCACAATAGTTTGGCCAATTTTCCCCTTCCATGGATAAGTGATTTACCCACCTGGGAGAAGGGTAAAACTTACCTGAGAAAGTGACCAAAAATTTACCAGAGGGAAAGTTCATTTTCTATGGGGCCTACACTTCCCTTGCAAAAAGAACGTATGAAAGTTGATCAACCTCCCCATTAACCAATTCCCTTCCACCCCCCTACCGGCAAAAGAACAGAACTGTAAATTTGGTCACTCAAAATATTCTATTTGGCAAGGGAAAAGAATTATATCTAAAATATCTACATGTTTACCTTTGAAAGAGAACTCTCAAAAAAAATAATGAACATCAATATCATTTTCCATTTTTTATTGACCAATTTACTTTCATGAAGAATAGAAATTCATACCAACCAAGCAACTCCAAAATAGCATCATAAATACATATACAACCATAAATTTCTTCCAAAAAAGATTCTTTTGGTACATCACCTGAAAAGGACAAGGAATAAGAGCTCCAAAAAGGTCCTCTGTTACATCCTTAGCGCTGATGGAATACATAGCATTCTTGAGCCCACGTGCAACAAAAAACTCCTCAGCTTCCTTGGGCAGAGAATACCCTTTGTACGCATTGACTGAAGGATCACATACCTACGACCATAAAAAGGGAAAAATAAAGAAAGAATATGACAACCATCTATGATCTATCCATATGTAATAAAGTTAAAATTAAAAATCTAAACATTGGAAAGCATGTTGTGGCATGCAAGTGTTGACCTCTTCTGGATGTATTTCAAAATTTTTAAAACAGGAAAAGCAGCAAATATCATAAAATCAAAATCTGGATAAAGTACATATGACCAAAATAACATACCAAGCAAATGTCCAACAACCTTCAACTCTTGTGAATGTAAAAACATCAAACAGTCAAATGACCCAGAAAAAATGGTTTGGTAGGGAGGAGTCTCATAAATGGATGGGCAGTTCACTTAATGCATAATTATGCATCTCAAAAGAGTGTCTTCTTTCCCTCACTAAGATATAGCATTATCAATACCACAGAATTAACATAACCCATTTAACAAACTAAGTAACCATTTGACAGAATTAGTAATTTATTATCAGTAAGAAGAAATTTCCATATCAAGAACTGGCAAAATCAGATTTTTCTTTCCAGCTGAAAAAAGAAAAAAAAGAGAGATATCAAGTTTTCAAGAGAAAATAGATGGACTTTTCTGAGTGTTGAAGCTTTAAAGCACACTAAAATCATCAAAGAAACACCCATTTTTGAACTATCAAAGCAAGTGCTCGATCCTAGGTGATGACAAGGTTTGCTTAGAGGATCAAAATTGAAATATACTATTTTTAAAGCAGTACCGATATTAACCAATTAGCATGAATGGTAAAAACATCAGGGTTTTTCCCAACGTCAAGATATTCCTGTCTTTATTTGCTGTGACAGAACTAAAATGTCATTTTTTTCTTTGCTTCCAGAACTAAAATGACATATTAAAGAAGTACTTTTGCATAATAAAAAAAGTACCATAGGTTTAATGACTAATAAAATCCCTTATTGCCACTGACTGCCCAAATCTTAATGTAGTCAACACGAATCACAGCTAGGAAGGTTGACTGCCTACATGCATTGCATACACAATTCATTAATAACTTTATAGAAAACCCTTCAAGAAGAAAATTTTGAGGAACTAATCAATTGCAACAATAATGTAAAGATCAGAGTCTAAAGAAGCATTGGCCTGAAAAAAAAAAATGTTGCAGCTTATAAACTTGCTAGAGTATTAATGACTTGATCAAGATGCAAAGACACATTCAACAATAGCAGTTCTACTACCATATGGTCCTTGAAGTGATATTCATATCGGTAACAGAAACTAATGTGCAATAGTGCAAGTTGAGAAACCGGTAGAGATATCATGAAGAAAAAAGATCAGCATTCACTATTTCCTTAACCACGGACCAATAACATGCAGCCGTGGAAGAAAAGAACCTTGACCTAACAAAATGCTCAGAAAGCAAAAAGGGGGTTGATGATTCTAAAAGTATGTAGCACAATTCAAAGAATTGGAAGGAAGCATTGCAAGAAATGTGAAACTCCACCTACAGAATGGGAATCAAACAGATAACAATAGTTTACAAGGCAATGTATGAATTACCGAAGATCCAACTTGAGCTTGGCAATCAGTTAAAGTCTTATAAACACCAACGATATCCCCCTTGCGAACAACATAGAAAGCGCCTTTCTCAACTTCATCCATGGCTGATAGCCCAGGATCCGGCTTCGATGACCGAGAGGCACGCCCACTACCGCTGCCACATGGGGTGGAAAAACACTGAACACGAAATCTCGTCAACATGAAGTCTAAGTTAATGGCCTTAATACCAGAATGGTCTATGCTTTTTTTCCATGATGAACTACAAAAGGCATAGAAAGAACGCTTCATGATGAAAGTCTTTGATCATATAACCGCAGAAGACACGTACAACAAGCAGTTCATCACAGAGTAGTTTTCCCACACTTGTCCAATTTTCTGGTAAGAAAAACATTTTCAGGTAACATTTTATGGCGAAGAGGAGGACCTAGTGGATTGGAAAACCAAACGAGATTTCAATGGAATCACACCTTGGTCCCCTTCTCCGTGGAAGGAAAAATATAACAATAGGAGCATACGAGAATGAAATATAAGAAAAGGCTGGTAAAAGAAATATAAGAAAAGGCTGGTAAAGCTGTGGGAGAAACGTTAAAAGCCTCGCCTCAAATGAGTTCTTTAGTGGAACTAAAGAGAGGAGAAAGGTTTTAAAAACTGACCCGTAAATGGAATCGTTCTAGTTATCGGTTTTTGATTGGACCGTTGGGGTCGAACAGTTTGCATTAGGGCAAAATAGTAAATAGTCATATACGAGAAAGGAGAAGTGGAGAAGAGAGTCTTTTGTAGGTTGAGAAAGAATATAAGAAGGAAAGAAAGGAAGGAAGGGGAAAGGTAAAAAAAAGGAACAGGAGACAAAAAATGAAGGAAGAAAGAGGAAAGGAGGGAAGAAGAAGGAAGAGGAGGAGAATGACAGATCTGAGATCTAAGAAGGCAACGGCAATGGCGACGATGAGATGGCGATGGCGGTAACAGCACAGATGACATATCTGAGATCTGAGGTACGAGTTCTCGGATCTCAAATCTGATTGATTTTTCATTTTTTCTAAGATCTAATAAAAAATGAAACTTTTTCTCAGATCTCTACAACTTTTCTTCTTCTTCTCTGTCTCAGAGTTTGCAATTTCTTAAACCACAAACCGTTGTCCAGGTCAAATGAATCAACGGTTCGACCACCTGGGTCAACGGTTTTCTGACGAAGTCAACGGTTTTTGACTCAAGAACGGGTCAAGGGTGAAACAAAACTGGGGAAGAGTTTGACCGTCCGGGTCAAAAACATTGGGGAGGAGTTTGACCCCGCAAGACAAAAGCTGAGAGGAAATCAACATTGATTGAAATGATAATAGGTTTTAGCGAGTCCTAGGGGTGGATTCGGTTCAAGCCGAGCCGAACATTTGAGTATTCAAGCTCAGCTCTGTAGGAAAATGCAAGGCTCGAGCTTAGGCTCGAGCAAAATGTAAGGCTCGAGCTCGATTCAAATTGGAAATATAATCTCGAGATCGATTCGATTACAAAATTCATCGGTTCGAGCTTGATTCAACTCGAGCTCAATAATGAACCTTCGAAGTCCCAACTCCAATCTGTAGAGAAGAACACCAAATCAGAAATAGATTTGAGCTCGAGCCGCTTGAACTTCGAAACCCCAACTCCAATCTGTAGAGAAGAACCCCAAATTAGAAGAAGAAGAAGAAGAAGAAGAAGAAGAACTCACACAACTGTATCCTTTGGACTTGCCACTGTCGGTGCTCTTGTCGGTGATGATAACTGCTTCAAGAAGTAGAGAAAGGAAGGTGCAAACTATTGTTGTTGGACGCCGGTTGTGAAAGCACTGAGAGGAGAACGAAAACATGTTTTTCTACAGATTTTTGTGTATTTTGTAATTGTAGCAGAGAGTGAGAGAGATCCAAAACCAGAGGCGTCGAAACTCTAACTCTGAGAGTTGAGAGCTGAGAACCTAAGACCAGAAGGCTCCTTAGTCCTCCCACTTTCAATAACTAGGTGAAAGCTGAGAGGGTGAGACCATCGACCGTCAACCTGTGAGAGCAGAGCTGCATTCTGCAGAGGAGAACGAAAGTCCAAAATTCAAGGAAGAGAAACAAAGGGTTTTGCCGCTTAGGTTTTCTTGATCAAAGAAGATGAAATATTTTTCTCCCTCTCAAGTCTCGAAGAGGTATACTATGTGTAGGGACCATGGTATAATTGTGTCCCTATCAATAAAATTTTCTAAAAAGGTGTGTATATATATATATGTATGTATGTATGTATGTATGTATGTATGTATATATAATATGTATAATATAAATATATATGTTGATATACATATATAGAGGTTCGTTAGGCTCGCAAGCCTAACGAGCCAAACTTTAAAATGTTCAAACTTGGCTCGATTGACAGACGAGCCATATATGAGGCTCGTATTCGGTTCAAAGCTCAGTCTAGGTCGAGCTGAGCCGAGCTCGAATAGCTCGTGAAAAGCTCGGTTTGTGTCCACCACTAGCGAGTCCATACTTCACCAGTTAAACCCAAGGTTCAAAATTTCGTCACAAATCAGCCCATATCGATCGATACATACCATATCTTAAGGCTTTCGGCATGGGAAATGGTTCAAAATCAATCATACCGTTCCTTTTCGTCGTGCCGAAGGCGGATTGAGGCCGTATCAGTGTTGTATCGGTGAGTTTCGGTCGATACACAACGATTTTACTATTGTTAAAACACAAATAGAAGTGATTTCGAAAGAGGGCTTCTAAATTTAGAAGCCCTCTTTTTTTCCCAAACCCTCTAGAAAGCCTTTTAACCTTTCTAAAGACTCAAATCTTGTAAAAATTTGCCAAAAACATTTATATATTTATAAGATGCCAAGATTCAATAAGTTTTTTAAGGTTGTGTAAAATGGAGTGAAAATAAATATGTTTTTTCAATTCTTTTTTTACATTTTCAGCCAATGTTAGAAAAGATAAGGGGAAACAAATGTTTATGCATTTTTATTTTTTGAATATAAAAGATTTTTATTAAAGATAAAGAAAAAAATGAAATCCCCCTTCCTCCTTCCTCCTCTTAAGGAAGCTTACGCCTCTTATGTTCTGATTTATGCTTCACGCATCTAGGTAGTGGAACACCTCTGTGTTTTAAAACATTGAATCATTTTTTTTAATTTTAATTTACTTTTAGAATAAAATATGTAAAATAATTATTTCATCTATTATGTCCATAAATCCATTCAAGTTTTTGTTACATATTTACTTTTCTTAATTTTAATTTAATTTTTAGAATAAAACATGCAAAATAATTAATTAAATAAAAATAAATAATTATTTAGTTTTTAGAAAATTAGAATAAAACATGAAAAATAATTACTTGATCTATTATGTCCATAATTAGATAGTATGTTTATGTTCCCGACTTCCCATTTATTGATTATAATATTTTTTTTCATAAAACCCACTAAAATGTGCTATTTTTATGCATAAATAGCTCATTTATGTCTTATATTTCGTGATATTGATGTTTATTTATTTATGATTTATTAGAGTATTTATAGCATTTCCATGTGTTTCCATGCCTATCTTAATTTTCTGTCCGTATCCATGCATATCCAAGGTGTATCTCGATACGTCTCTTAAATTTGCCTTTCCGATATGCATAGCATTTTCGATATTGAACCTTGGTTCAACCAAGCCTAATAGGAAAACAATAACTTGTAAATCTTACTACTCGCAAAATCAGTATAATAACATCAAGAAAAAAAGGGAAAATTCCCGATAGGTACCATGTACTTTAGGCCGAGTGCCAATTTAGTACTCGAATTTTAAAACATGACAATCTAGTACCCTAATTTTCCAAATGCAACAATCTAGTACTGGCTATCAACTGACCGTTAAGTGTCATGGAAAAAGACACAAATGCCCTCAGTGTCATCTAATTTTCCTTAGCAACCTTCTGTTAATAAGTGATCTCATGAGTTTCTAAGCCCCTTCCCTCAGCCATGTCCACCAGCCCATCTTTTCCAACATTTACAACTTTCTAGTCAAGCCCTCGTTCCAATTCTAAACGACATGAAATGGAAATACCAGTCCCTTACATCCATTGAATTCCACCCTTTCTTGCCTTAAGGCATGAATATCCCTGACCCTGAGCCACCAAGAAAATCGTCCATGAGAAAAGCCAAGAGAAGAACCATGAGGTCCTCTTCCAAGCTTGTTACTTCTTTTGTTTCTACTGGTTGCAACTGTCGTGCGGCTCATGCCACTAGAATAGAATTCTCAGAGCTGAGTGACATAAACACTCAAAGGAAGAGGAAGAAATGACGCAAGAAAGGATCCCCCTATGATGGGCCATTAATCAAGTCTAACAGTAGTCAACAACTAACCCAACAATAATAAGGTCAATGGGTCTGTGATGATAGATCGCAATGGATTGTGCAATAGTGATCAGTACAAGGAAGCAGTCACTAACATACAAGCAATGTGGAGTGGATAGCTTAAGCATCTAAGATGAGGAAGCTCCCATTCTCCTTGTATCTCTCTGTATCCATCTCTATTTTTCTAGGAAAGCCAAATTTTTACAACTTCAGCTCCACTCTCCAAGCAAAGAATTTGGTTTGCTTTGGAGAGGGAAGAAAATGGGATTACCCTTCTCACACTGTATGAAAGAAATTTTGGGGATATTGGGTCTTGTTTATTTTACATTGAAATGTGAATTGTTATTTATTTAGATTGAAAATGGAAGGAAACTCAGAGTTAGCATTCAACAAAGAAACTTTTTTACCCTTTTTGTCTTGATTATAATGCTTGTTTTTTTTCGGATCCACGTTGGTTCAAGAGTGCTTCTTTCAGTGGAAGGAAAAGGAATTTTGAAATGGGAAGAGAGAAAACTGAGGTCAGTGTAGCTCGGAAGGACAAGCTGAACATTCAGGCCAACATGAGACAAGGGGAAGAAATGTCATGTTGTGTAAGAAAACCCACTTAAGTTTGTTGTTGTTGACAAACTTACACTCTTCAAAGGCTTTCACACAATATGAAACAATGCAGGGGTTGGACTGTTGGAGAATTGGAGGTGATTTGGATCTATATAGGAAGTATGAATTTAATTTTTTGGGTTATTAACAGAAATTGTTTCAACTTTCAAGCAATTCCGCTCTCTCTCTCTCTCTCAGTCTCATGCTTTTCAAATTGTTTGGACTTTGGATGATCGGCAATGCATGGTCACAATCACTATAAAAGAATAATAGTAGCCCTTTTTTCCCTTTCTTCCGCAGTTCCTGTTCTGCCTCTGTCGATTGTCGTAGTTTTTTTTCTCTCTCTTGATCAGGAGTGTCAAGCGTGGGCCATGGTGGCAGTTACAATGGCGAACTAAGAGCACCACCCCTCCTGCTGGCCATGGTGGTGGCCAGCGGTGAGCCGGTTTTCATCATGAAATGATGGTCTGGACTATTGAGAACTTGGGCTCTGTTTCATTTTCTTGAGAAAGAAGATGATGAACATTGTGTTTAATTTTCAAGGGTATTTTTGACATTTTCAAAAGTCTTAAATCACACATGACGTCACATGATATACATAATTGATGGCCCATTAACGGTAGGTACTAGATTGTCGCATTTCGAAAGTTCGGATACTAGATTGTCGCATTTTAAAGTCCGGGTTAGTAAATTGACACTTGGCCTGAAGTACAGGGTACCTATCAGGAATTTTCCCAACTACCCTTATGGTTTAGTTAATTGACTAAGTGTATCCTTACTATTTGAAAATTGACTGATATTGTTTCTAACAATTGACTAACTCTACCCCTACCCTCTAGTAACATTTAAAATTTCTTTTAAAACCCAATATTACCCCCTCTCTCGTCCCCTTCCTCTGACTGGAAACCCCTTCCTCCTCAGACCTCCGGTCTCTTCTCTCTTACCTCTCTCTATTTTTCTCTGTCTCTCTTACCTAGGATCGTGTAGGTGTAATCACTCGGACTCGGAGGAGAAAATATGGATTTTAATGGCTGACGGAGAGACCAGAGGCTGTTGATCGAGATATACTGATGATTGACGCAGACCGAATTAGGAATCTTCACGTGAATGCTCGCAAGATTCGCTAGCTTCTTTGAAGGAG